TATCTACTCACACATTACATTCCCCTCTTTTATATACCAGCCTACCCTATATCTAGTAAGAAGTAGAACATTCGCCAAAGTACATGATATTTCTAGAAACGTTGCGTCACAGTGGTCATGTGACTCGATGACGCAACAGTATCATTCAAAGAATTTCAACATTAAATTGATTCAAAATATTCCTTTAAATGATTATAAAAGATATGCATAAAGTTAATATAAGTAGTAGATCTGTGAAGGTGCAGTTGTAACAAAGTAATGCCTACATGGAAAAGTTTCAGCAAGAATACTTAATTTTTTATGCATGAACATGGTCATGTGTTTAACTTTTGTAAAAGAGTAAAAAATTGCCAGAACATATAAGATAATGTGCTATGAACTGATGAAACAAAGAATATGAAAACTTTAGATAAATGGGTTTAGGGTGATATGACAATGGAAATTTCAGCAAAACAGGGAAACTTGGGAAGGGATTTTAAGCGATTGGTAAATGTTTTCAAAATTGATGATTGTTATATGAAGAAAGAGTGGTATCACAAGATTTTAACATCTTAACTTTGCACAATACCCAGAGAACAATTAAATTTTATTGGCCTTGGCTTTGATTTTTAGCAAAATGATGACCCAAAACCTACCACATAGCTAAGTAAGGGATATTTGAAGAAGAAAAGAGGTGTTTATATGAAAGTTATGAAATTGCCGACCCTAAGTCCTGATTCTATAATTCGATTGAAAAGTAATGTCGCACAAAAGAACCTAACGAATCTGCAGAAACTATGCAAAAAAATATAAAATAATTGGTAGGATCAATCTATCAATTAATTCTAAATGAGGAGTTACTAAATATTGACTATTCAATTTTTTATGCATATTTCAAAATATAATTTGTTTGTTTGTTTTGAATTTCATGCAAAACTACACAAGGACTATATGTGCTAGCCATCCCTAATCTAGCAGTGTAAGACTAGAGGGAAGGAAGCTGGTCATCACCACCCACAGCCAGCTTTTGGGCTACTCTTTTACCAATGAATATTGGAATTGAACATCACATTATAAAGCCCCCACGGCTAAAAGGGTGAGCATATTTTGTGGGACAGGGATTTGAACCCGCGAACCTCCGATTGGGAGTTGAGTTCCCTAACCACCTGGCCATGCCGGTCACCAAAACATTTTAGAGAATATATATATTTAATTGTTTAGTTTTCTAATAGGAGAAATTACTGATCTATTTATGATAAGTTTTATTTATGTTGTTAATATATATATATATGATTTTTATGAGTAGTTGAATGTCAATTTCAAGATACAGGACTTACTTATTGCACCGTGTGATCTGGTTTTAGTAACCAATTTTATTTTTATTATGTTTTTTTTTAGTTTTAGGTTTGGCATGAAATAATGGTTAGGGTGCTAGACTTGCAATTTGGGGGTTGTGAGTTCAAATCATCTCATCAAAAATGTTTGCCCTTTCAGCCGTTGGGGAATTATAATGTCACAGTCTATTCCATTCTTTGTTGTTAAAGAGTAACCTAAGAATTGGCAGTGTGTGGTGTTGACTAGCTGTTTCCTATCTAGTTTATCTAATTAGGGACTGCTAGTGCAGATAGCTCTTGAGTAGCTTTGCACAAAGTTTACCAAACAAACAAATCTCTAGTTTTCAGTTTCTTTAGGAGCATTTTCCTTCCAACAAATGGCTGCAGGTGATAGATAGTAATCTTAGAAGTGTAAAATTGCAGGTTTGAGTTCTCATATCTCCTAATATTAAAAAAAAAGTAATTGGTATTGTTGACTGCATTCTAACACACAAGTTACCAGAACTGTGCAATTTCAAATGCAAATTATTATAACATTAATTGCATTATGTTCTAAACAAGTAAGTTTAGAAACCTCATATTCCTAAAAGTAACTTAACGGATAACTATAAAAGAGGAACAATAATTTGTTAACTACTATATGGCAGTAATAAAAATATTTACAGGAATTAGAACATTTTATCAAAATAATTTGTTTACTATATGGCAATAATAATCATATTTACAGAAAGTAGAACACTATGTAAAATAATTTATTTACTATATGGCAATAATAATCATATTTACAGAAAGTAGAACACTACGTAAAATAATTTGTTTACTATATGGCAATAATAATCATATTTACAGAAAGTAGAACACTAGATAAAATAATTTGTTTACTATATGGCAGTAATAATCTTATATACAGAAACTAAAACCTTTTATCTAAAATTATATTGACTTTTTCATTAATGATAACATTTCAACAATCTTGAGACACCAGTTAATTACAGGAAGCCATCTAATTCTAGTTTCATATAATTATGCATACTACTCACTATAAGATAAATATTTCTATTTTATGTAACATGAAAACTTCCACATTAGTATATTAATCTATATTAGCTAGTTAAGCAGTCTAGTTCCTATTTTCATATAATTATGCATACTGCTCACTATGAGATAAATATTTCTATTCTACGTAACATGAAAACTTCCACATTAGTATATTAATCTATATTAGCTAGTTAAGCAGTCTAGTTC